CCTTTCGACTCCGCCACCCCCCCGTCCGCGCGCGCCCCGCCCGCCGCAGGCGGAGAGCCTGCAGAGCAACATCGCAGGCGGCTACCACCGAGTCAGCGGCGCCCTCAGCGCGCAGCTCCAGCAGCAGCTGTCCGCCGTGGTGCAGTGGCCCATGCCACGCTGGCCCGTCTACGTCTACTTTGCGGGCGCCTGCGTCTGCCTGCTGACGTCGTGCGTGTGCCACCTGCTGGGCTGCTGCCAGCGCCACATCAGCCAGGTGGTGTGGCGGTTTGACTACGCGGGCATCGCGGTGCTCATCGTGGCGTCATTCTACCCCGCGGTTTACTACGCCTTTCTGTGCCAGCCCTTCTGGCGGAACTTTTACCTCATCACCACAACAGTCGCGGGTGCGACACCGCCAGTGTCCGTGGGGCACATGCGGCACGATTTGTGTTGAGCAGAGGCATTCCTGCTGCGAGGTCTTTGTGTATGCGCCATCTGCTGCCCTGGCCGCTGCGGCTCTGGCCTCTTCGTGGTCAGCCATACGACTCCTGCCCTGATTTCCCTTTGCGGCCCCGGGCCCAGGACGCCCCTACCCCTGCTACCTTCTCTCCTCACCCAATCCCTCCTACCCCCTCATCTTCCACACGTGCAGGCGCCAGCGTGATTGCGGTGTCCCTGCCCAACACCTTCCAGGCGACGGAGTACCGAACCCTGCGCGCCGCCGTGTTCAGCGGCCTGGGGCTGTGGGGCATTGTGCCCGTCGCGCACCAGCTGGTCTGGTACTGGGATGTCTGGGCCATCCGCACCGCCTTCAAGCTCGACCTGCTGATGGGGGCGCTCTACCTGGTGGGCCGCGCGCGCGCACACCCTGCGCGTCCGGGGCCGCGTGAGGGATGGTGGTCGGGCTGGGTGGCTCGGTGGCTGGGCGGCTGGGTGGCTGGGTGGTCGTTCAGCAGGGGCTGGGGTAAAGGAGGGCCGAGGCTGTCGGTGTCCAATGGGCTTCCCCCTTTGCACCGCCGGGGCCGCCGGCGGCGCTCCTTCCCAGAAACCCACCGCCTTATCGTGCGCCCCAAAGCCCGCTGAACGCCGCGCCCACCGCTTTCTGCGAACCCTGGCCCGCCGCCGGCCAGGTTGGCGCGGCCATTTACGCGTCGCGCGTGCCCGAGCGCTGGCTGCCGGGCAAGCTGGACCTCATCGGCCACAGCCACCAGCTGTGGCACGTAGCCGTGGTGCTGGCGGCCCTGGTGCACTACAAGGCCATCCTGGTGCTGCTGCAGTGGCGCGACGCGAGCGGCGGCTGCGCCGCGCACCTGCCGGCCCACGTGCCGACGGTGCTCGCGACGCTGCGCGCCGGCGGCGGCGGCGCGGAGGCGCTGGGGATCGAGCAGGTGTGGCGCCACCTGGACGCACAGCTGCACAGATTTGTGGGCGTGCCTGCGGCGGCGGCGCCGCTGCCGGTGGTCTGACGCGTGCCGCCGCCGCCGCTGTCTCGCCCGTGCGCTGTTGATAGGCAAACAGGCTGACGGCAGCAGCAGGGCGCCGGACAGTGGTGGAAGACTTGTATTGCCGGTGGCGCGTCGGGTGTGTGTTTGCAGCAGCATCTTGGACGGACCCCTGTCTATGTGATCTTTGATGCGCCCAGAACCAGCCGCCGGCGGAGCGCGGCGGCCGCCTGTGCGGCGCCGCCGCATCAATCGCGAGGAGGCGCGAGCCCTGCTGTCTCGCTTTATGCAGCACTCTCGTATGTGTCATTGCGGGTCCACAGCTTGTGCTATAGCAGAGTCTTGCGTTGCGCAGCGCTCTCCTCTTGGTGAAACTTTCATTTCTTTGTACCTGCTGCCTGTGTGACAGTCACTGCGCCCTGACTAAGCACGCTGGTGCGCGTGTGCAGCTGCAATCCCCTGGCTGCCGGTGGCTGAGGGTCCGTGGAGCGCCCCAAAACCGCACACGCTCCCCGCGGCCCGCCTTGCGTCCAGCGGGCTAGCCATCGTGGCAAGCGTGTTGCCGGCTTCTCACATTGCTGTTGGCAGCGCGCGCAGCAGCAGCATGCGCATGCTGGACAGGGGTTTTTTGAGGCCGTCTCCTAGGCATCCTGTGGCGGCACTCAACCCCATCCACGCGCCGTCTCGCAGTTTTTTTGGCACCTCCCAATTCCGATGATCACCCAGCAGCAAGGCGGTCTGTCAAGTGCATCCCTGGAAAGGGTTGTCGCCACAGATTGGATTACTCACGTGCCGGACTGGTGCGGCCAACCTGCGGCCCAGACTTGCAGCTTTGCCTGTGGTTCAAATTGCAGGTGTGTGCGCTTCTGGTGGCATCTTGTAATGCGCACTCATGCCTCGAGCCCAGGCGCAGCACAGGGGGCCGAAATAAGATGACGCAAACAAAAGAATTGCAGCAGCTGTGCAGACAAAGATGCGTTTTTCAACGCAGGACGACGGCGACCACACATAGCACGGGCAAAGGAAGGAAGCAAAAAAAGAACGGTCAGCCGGTGGGGCGCAGCTGCTGGGGTGCCCACGGCCCCCATGCAGCGCGGCTGCCGGCGCGGCCATGGGTTCAGCGGCGCTATGTGAAAGCCTGTGGTGCGTGCACGGCACTGCAGGGCACGGCATATGGACCAAGACGACGGCGGTCGCGCCGCGGGCCAGCACATTGCAGTCAACCCCTGCATCAAGAGAAGGGGCAAAAACGCCGCAAATGGGGATGGACGCAGCAGCTGGGGGGATCGCAAGACGCCGAGCCGGCGCCCTTTGCGCGGGGCCGAGGCTGCCCGGCGCTGGGTTGTGGACGGCTGAGCGACAAAGAGGCCCGACTGCGGCCGCCAGCCGACAGGTCCGCGCGGTGCGGGCGGCGCCGCCGCCACGCGGCCTCGCTGCCAGCGCCGCCACGCGCGCCGCGGCCACGCGCCACGCGGGCGACCCTCCACAGCCCGCCAGACAGAGCCGCGCGGGGGCGGCCCCGCCAAGCCACAGGTTGCCGTGAACCCCGCGTGCCCTGGCTGTCATCAGTACTGCAGCTCGTCGTAATAGGGGTCCACGCTGCGGCCCCACTTGCCCTCGTACAACTCCAGCAGCGCGTCCGCCGGCGTCTTGCCGCTCTCCGCGATGACCTGCAGGCTCTTTAGGAAGCTGGCCTCGTCGTGGCCGCGGCGCTCGAGGCCGCCGCGCGCGATGTCGAGGACCTTGAGGGAGAGGTCGCGCACGGTGCCGCCGCGGAAGGGGGTGCGCAGGCCATGGACGCCGACCTTTGATTGGGGGAGGGGTGGGCGGGGGGGGGGGAGGGGGCGGTTTAGGCGAGGGGGCGGGGCCGCTTCAGTGGCTGTGCTGGTGGCTGGAGGCAAGGAGGGAGGGAGGGAGGCATAAAGGATGCATTGGACTGCGGCAACCCTCCCTCACCCCCACCAAGCCCCTGCCCACAGCCCGCCGACACCAGGTACCGTCCCCTCTGCAATAGCCCGCCGCAGCCAGCCCGACTGCAGCATCCTGCAGCAGTCTCGACCGAACCAGGCAACATCAAGCAGCACACCCCCTGGCCGCCCCTGCCCGAAACGCGCTCATGCAATTCCCAGAGCGGCCCCCGCGCCCAACCCCCACACACCCACACAACCGCACACCCATGCACG